GAAAATTTCGTATTTATGAGAGAGTGGGATCATATGCAAACGCCGAATCCCCACCGAGGATGATTCAAGGGGAGCTTTGACGATTGGCTGTGCGGACTCGACTGATTTCTTTTTTTTTTTTCTTTTTTTGTTCATAGGTATATAGCTGTGCGATGAAAGAGTCGGGTGGTTATTGCGGTCCTTGATTATTATTTTCACATTTGGATTCGCTCGGTACTGGCGTTAGGGTATTTCGAATTTATCAAGGGATGCAGATGAAAATGCTCGTAGAGAAAAGAAAATCACAGATGAGCCTCGAAAATGTAAGATGCTTACTCGCTACACACAACAGTATATATAACGGTAAAAGCCTCGCCGACGCACCCTCGGCGTACAAATATTTTAGGTAGACACAGACGATCTGTGTACATGTATACTGGTGGGGAAAGAAAAAAGTTTCTTCCCTTCGGTATCTTTGGAAGAAAAAAGGGATGAACCTGTAAGACGGGGAGGAGCAAAGTCCCCTCGCGACTTTGCCGTCCCGAACGTAGTTAGATCATCATTATCGCGCGGGAGCGAAAATTAGGGACGCCGGCACCGCCGTGGTGTGAAAGGAGAAACTTACTTTCCCTAATACCCGCGGTGTGTGCCTGCGGACGGGAAAAGGGGGAAACAAAAAAAATTGGCTTGACGCTAAGACAAGGGGAGGAGGAAAAGGTGCGACGACCCCGCGCTGTACTTACAAAGGGGGGCTAACGAGTATTCCGTTTTGAGAGTCGAAGGGAATCCAATAATTTAAAAAGCTCAAGGGAGGCCCACGGAAAAGCTCTTCTTCTCCCTAGTCCGCGCTTTTGACGCGAGCAGTGGGTATCAGAGGAGATGAGAGAGACGGGCCGGAACGGAGCCAATCTCTCCGCGCTCTTGTTTCCGCGCCAGTTAATATTGCCAGGGTATCCCGGCGTCAATCAAAAGCCACTGGCTTCGCTCTATATCGATCATCTCCCCCTACCTTTTTTTCCATTCGAGATGAGCAGCCGCGATCTCGCCCTACGTGTGAGCCTCTCTCTCTCTCTTTCAATTTTTTTCTTTTCGCGGAGCAGCGGCTCCTTGGCTCTGATTTTCATACGTAAACCGGTTACGTGAGTTTACGCGGGCTTTGAATAATTTTCGGGAAACCACAGGCTTTCTCTTTTATTCAGCGGAGCTTGGGAAATTCTACTGCAATAGAACGAAAAAGGCATTTCTTCCGTGGTTCCTCAAAAATACCTTTCGAGACAACGAATAGATATAATTTATAGAGTCCCAGATAGTATGTAAATCGACCGAGTTATTGATAAATTACGGGAAGAGATGAAGAGCAATCATAATTCCATCAGAGTTCACCGAAGGGAGAGAGAGGGGGGGGGAGACGAGTGGCATTTACTTCATCAAGATCCTTCGGCACCTCGTCCGTGGCGTGTAAAAGCTCGTTCTGCACTCAATCTTCCTTTTGCACTGCAGTGGGTGTATAATGTATATATACCTATGTCGATGGTGGCGGGCTAACTAATGGTCGACTTTTTCCTCCGCCGCGCTTCGTTGAACGGCCACTCGGCCAACTTGTTGATACTAGCGCGGGCCGATGTCGATCGGCTTGTTTTCGGGATCCGATCAAAGCGGACGGACGTTTTTCACTGTCCGTGTGCTTGCAGTATGCGCTTCGTTTGATCCGGTGGGTCGCTGCTGTTTTCTTTTGTCTCTTTCTCCTGGTGGTCGATTCTTTTTTTGTTTCGACCGTGCGATCCGTCAGAGTAACAAAGTGGCAACGTGAAATAAAAAGGCGTCATCGAGATACCAAACGAAACAAGTAGTAACATCAATGTACGGTCAGACCTGCGCAGTAAATTTTAACTGCATTCGATTTGGTTTTTTTTTTTTCTTAGTATTACTTGATTTTCATTAACAATTGTTAGGATAACGTCAAAAAAAAGCTTGGCTGCATTTCTTACTCTGGCGAATTGATTGATTGATGAATTTTTGACAAAACCGGGATCAGATGGAGTTGCATTTTTTATCTTGAAATAGGATTTTACAAACAAGGCAAACGCTCTTGTATCCTACGTTTAAAAACCGTTTGGTCGACGACTTTTAAGGATAATCCTTCTCAACGCTGTAACTCGAAAAATCATTTTAAACATACTGGAGTTGGGGGGGGGGAGATGATTCAACCTTTACGGAGACTCGCGCGTCTTTGCTAAGAGTCGACGTTTTCCATACATAATTACGTCACCTGCGATTGTACGCATACATCTCTTTTTTCATGTTTTTTCCCCAACGAGCTTGCAGTAAACGCGAACCGGACGCATTCAGCGATGCAAATAATGAGTTTAGCTCGCGTGCGATGGTTTTTCGCTCTTCTTGGTTAAATTATGAAAAAAAAAAAGACATACACGCAAGCCCGCGTAAAAAAAGCGAATGGAAAAACTCAACGCCTCGGCGCATTATTCAAACCGCACGTGTAAGGACGCCGTCGCGAATTTTTAATGAACGCACGTCTCCGCCGCAAGCGCGGCCAGCGGCACTTCTTTTTCCCAAGACTCCGTGGGAGGTAAAAAAAAAGGAAACGTTAAATTAAAGACGCCTCGCGACCACTTGGGGAGCGATTTTCTCCGCGGTAATTCAGAAGGTGTCGGCGAATGAAAAAAAAAAAAAGGGCAGCAGAGCTCACTAGCTTTGGGCATTATTTTTCCACTGCTGGCAGTAATGGTTTTTCCCTGTTCGCCTGTGGCTCTCCAGAGAGCCCGTGGGCATGCACGGCGTTTATTTTCAACCAGCACAACTCGGCTCCGTCATTTGCGGCCATTGTATCGGACGAGGAAGGAGCCCCGGCTATATCAATACGACTTTTTTAATTACGCCCTCATGAAATTCCATTTATTTACGCGCTTTTCCATTGACCCGCGCGGCCCAGCCGTGATGATGAGGCACAGTTGTCCTCGTGCAGCTGAAAAGCCAGGGCGTTTCTTTGGCGAATGGTGCATACACAAAGCTCGAGCTCTATTCAAACGAGCCGCGCGCGTGGGGCTTCGATCGAAAGGACCGCAAACAATGGATGCTGGGCGCGTCAAAGTCCAAAACGGCATGGAGGCGAAAAAAGAAAAAAGTAGAGATAAAGGGAAGAAAAAGCTCGAGCTCGAGGGAAGAAAGCTTTGGGGGACTCTCGCGCTCTATTTGTTTCTCTTTTTTTTTTGTCTCCGCGAGGAGCGTGACTATTTGGAAAAACAGGATGACGAGATGGCTAAGGGCGTCTGTATGTCGTGGCGAGAAATGTGACGAGGAATGCGGTAATGAAGTCCGCGCGAGGGCGTGTATATATATATATTTATATCTTTCGTTTGCCTCTCTCTGCCCTTTCGCCCCTTGATTATTTGATTGTCCGTGACTACAGGAGAGATTCTACGGAAAATCATCCCCACCCGAAATCATAAACATTACTACTTTTGGGAACTGCAAACCATTTTACCGCAATCATATATACTTCAAAAATATGAAGTTGGAACAAAGAACACGTTGTCACCCCTTGGAAAATAAAAAACCTTTGTCCCAAATGCGAGAAAAAAAGAAAAGCCATACAATCGTAAGTATTTTCAATTCCAGGGAACTGGTGAGCGTAATATTTTCGCGGATTTGCTCGCATATATACCAAATCACCTCGCTTCCGTGCTCATGGAAATTCTAGCTTCGGGGAATCTATATGGCTGCGTGCACGAACGTGAAGAGAGAGAGAGAGAGAGAGAGAGAGCCATTACGGAGGGATGATACGATACTGCTGCTGCTACACCGCCTACCTCCGGGCGTTTATTCGATTGTCTCATATTTCGATTGTTGAAGCCTCGCTAATGAAGTCCCCGTGTACCCTCCCCCCCCCCTCTCTCTCTCCTTTGCTCGATGTGTGTGTATGTCTATCCGTACCAGCGCTCTTCGCGCGCTTCCGTTCGCTCGATTTTTCGCAATTATCCCTGCCGTGAATTTTTCAGATTCCACCCCCTCGGGCTGCTTTTTGTATAGCCCTCCCCCCCCCACCCCCGGTCTCCTTCTTTCCTCCGTCGTTGCTTCAATTTTCCACTTTTCCCGAGAAAAGGCTCAAGGAAAATGCCACGGGTTTCACCCTCTCTCGAGGCATTCCTTATACTCAGGCCTGATTAAGCTGGCTTTCGAGAAAAAGTCAACACAAGCCGCTCAAGGGCCAGACCGACCTTTTTATATACATATTACATACACACAGACACAATCGTCCCTTTGGCCGAGCGTTTTTTTTTTTTTTTGGGCAACAAAGCGCCGCCGGTTCGGAGACGCCGGGCAAAAGCAGTAAAGTGTCCCCGCGATGCCATTCCATTCTGCTCGCGCGTGCGTTTTGTTTGGTCGAGTTTGGCTGGTGTGTGCACCCAAGAGAGAGAGAGAGAACATCCAAGACGCCCACTGTCTCGTCGCCGTTGGCAGTACAATGCGTAATCTCGTCAAAGTGAAATCTCCGCGCGGCTCATGCTTTATGTATACGACGCGCAATAAAAGCGTATTACCTTGCAAATTGTATAGTCGCTCGCTCGATACGCACTTGCTCAAGGGTAAATAATATATATGTGTTGGGGAGTATCAAATTAATTTTTCAGCTTTACCGCGAGCCTATGCCTTACCCGAAGGAGCTGTTATTTCGAATATCGTTGGAACTTTGTTTTTGTCGCTGGGGTGTTTCGTTTCGTTTTGGGTGTTTGGTTAATATTATATGTTTGCTGTGATTCATCAAAATTTAATATTTATATTGTTTTTTTTTTTTTTTTTTTTTTGTACGACTCTACGTATTTGTTTTCTTTTGTATTCATTCACGCGAATTCATGTTGTTTATGTTTATTGCTGTTACGTCATATTTTTATATAATCAGAGTTTGGAGTAAAAAATGGCAATTTTGGGTACTCGGGGTTATCATGCAATACGATGCGCGTGTAAGTAAGAGAGAAAAAAAAAGTAAAGATCTGTACTCATACCTCGTGCACCGTCTGCACGTGTCTCACGCCCACAGGTGTTGGGGCGGTGGCGGCGGCGTGGGCAGCGAGGGTGGCCTCTCGAGCATCGGCGGGACGGGGGGCACCTCAGGCATGGCGAAGCGCAACTTCTGCCAAAAGAGCTTGTCGCCCCAGACGAGCACGGTGTGGGCGGCGATTCGTTTCTTCAGGTCGCCGTCCAGGTCGCGCGGACACACGCCCCCGACGAGTAGCAAAATGACATTCCTGCCCCGGCCCTTGAGCGCCTCCCTCAGCGCGGCCTTGAACTCGAACCTCGACCACTCGCCGTGCAAAAAGTTGCGCGACAGCACGAGTATGGTCCGCTTCGAGGAGTCGGCCGCCTCGGCCACTGCCTCGGCCACGCTCGCCCCGGCCCCGAGGTCCCTGTAGTGCAGGCACAGCCGGTAACTCGTCTCCAAGCCGGGCACCAGCACCCGGGACACGAACGCCTCGTCCACCGCCGAGTACGAGATGTACGCGTCGAACGGCTTCTCCCGCTCCTCGAAGGCCGCGGTCTTGTGACAGGCGCGCAACCCGCACCGGCTCACCGCCCAAGTCCTTAGGGCCCGGCGGTGCTTGAGTCCCGCGCACAGTAGCCCCGCCACAAGTACCCCCAGCAGTAGGCACGTAGCCAGGAGCAGCAGTAGCGGCAGGTAGAGCTCGGACAACGGTCGGTTCGTCTCGAAGAGTACCGAGCCGACGCTGCTCAGGGCGGCGCAAGTCGACCCGTTGGCGGCCAATTGCAGCAGGGGCAGGCCGAGGCTGCACGTGGCGCGACTCCAATCATTGACCTTGTCCCTGTTGGGGCCCAGCCACTCGTGGACGCGCTCGAGGTAGGCGCACTCGCAGCGCCAGGGATTGCCCGCGAGGCTGATGTCGATGAGGTAGGGGTTGCGACCCAGCTCCCACAGGGCGAAGCTGGTCAGCCGGTTGCCGTCGAGGCGCAAGATCTCGAGGCCGCGGAGCGGCTGGAAGGTCGCGTTATCGATGTGGACTAGCCGGTTGTGCTGCAAGTAGAGCTCCCTGAGGGACTCGAGCGGGGCGAGTTCCATGCCATGGAGGGCCTCGATGCGGTTGTTCTCGAGGTGCAGCACGGCCAGCCGCTTGAGGCCGCTGAAGGTGAAGTTGCGAATGGACGTGACGCTGCTGTCGTTGGCGTACAAGATCTCGAGGTTCTTGCGGCCGATGAACGAGTGCGAGGTCAGCTCGCCGAGGTCGTTGCCGTCGAGGTAGAGCTCGGTCGCGTCCATGGGCACGCGGCCGGGCAGCTTCTTGTACCCCGCGCTCGAGCAGTCGACCACGTTGGCCGACCAGGACTCGTCGTGGTAGCAGGTGCAGTTGTTGGGGCAGGTCATCTCGCAGTCGCACGCGTCAAAGTCGCAGCAGTGGCACAGGGCGAAGCAGTGGGCCACGTAGACGCAGAGGAACTGGGAGGGCCTGGCCTCGAGCAGGGGCACGAAGGATCGCTTGCGGTCGTACGGCAGACGGCAATAGACCGCCTCGAGATCCATGACCCGTGGGTGCTGGCGGAGAGCCAGATGGTTGATGCGTTGCAGCCACTCGGTCGTGCAGTCGCAGACAAAAGGATTGCCGCCGATGTAGAACTCGGGCAGTGGCCTCTCGGAGGCTACGGGCTCCAGTTGCAGGGCCGACAGCTCCATGCGGACTATCTGGTTGGCGTAGAGGTCGACGCGCGTTAAATTGCGCTTGGTGGCGAACGTTTGGGGCTCGAGGGCGCTTATCTGGTTGTCGTTCAAGAAGAGCAGTTCTATGGAGTCGGGCACCGAGCGGGGGCTCAGTTTGGTCAGCCGGTTGAAGGAAGCGTCGAGGGTTTGCAGCCGCGAGGCCCCGGCGCTGGCTGTGCCCAGATCGGTTATGGCGTTCTTGTGAACGTCCAACCACTGGAGTTGGGCCGGCAGGTAGTTGTAGTCGAACTTTTCGATGCTGTTGTCCGACACGTTGAGCCAGAGTAGACTAGTGATGCCGGCGAAAACGCCGTCTATGTCCGAGAGGAGGTTCGAGTCGAGTCTGATGGCCTGGAGCATCGGATTACCGCGGAACGCCACAGGGTCCAAGTATTCGATCTTGTTTTTGGCCAAGTTGAGTATCTGCAGGGCCGGCATTTCGGCCAGTACGTCGCGCGTCACGTTGCCGATCGCGTTGTTCATCAGTCGGAGCCCGTACAGGCCGCTCAAACCTTCAAAGTTGGCCCTCTCCAGGCTCGAGATGCGGTTCTCGCCGAGATCCAGCATCTTCAGGATACCCATGTCCCGAAGGGCACCTGGAACGACGTCCAGGCTGTTCCCGGACAACTGGAGATCTTGGATGCTGGAACAATTCTTGAAGGCGTCGGGGTGTATGCCCTCGATGAGATTGTAATTCAACGCCAGTAGGGACAGGGCAAACAGCCCATTGAGCGACTGGGCGTCCAAGCGCTTCAGTCTGTTGTGCGAGAGCTCGAGCGTGTGCAGGTTACTCATAGGAGCGAAGGTGTCGGCTGGTATGTCTGTCAGCTCGTTGAATTTCAAACTTAGGATCTGCAGGGTGTACAGGTCCTTGAACATGAGTTCGTTTACGTGGGTCAGCTGGTTGAAGGACAAGTCGAGCACGATCAGGCGGATGAGGCCGGCAAACGTGCCCGAGTCCATCCCCGAGCTGGTCAGAACGTTCCTCGACAGGTCGAGCGCGACCAGCTGTTGCATGTTGGCCATGAGGTTGGGCGCGAGCACGGCCAGCGAGTTGTTCTGAAGTTTGAGTTCTTTGAGGGACGTGGCTGCATCCCGGAAGACATCGGCCGGGAGGGCCACGATCCTGTTGTCCGAGAGGTCCAGGCTGCGCAGGGAACGCAGTCCGTAGAAGGCCTCGTCGGCGACCACGGCTATCCCGTTGCCGGCCAGGTTGAGCGCCGACAATCGCCTCAGGGACGAAAAGACCCGGGAGCCCAGGGTCGACACGCGGTTCAGCGACACGTCCAAGGTGCGCAGGTCCAACGGGCATCCCTGCTGCTGTTGCTGAGAGTAGTCCAGTCTCCGGGGCTTTCTGCTCTCCTGCTGGTTGTACTGGCCAAAGTCAAGCTCACCTAGATCCTCCAGGAGGTTGTTTGACAGGTTGAGCGTGACCAGATTGGCGAGCGGACAAAAGACGTGCCTGGGTACCTGCCAGACGTTGTTGAAGGACAGGTCGAGCTTCTCCAGCTGCGCCCCCGCTTCAAAAGCCGAGCCCTCGAGTTCCAGGGGCGCCAGCTTGGTCCGCTGGCGGCGTGGGTCGACCGCGCTGACCTGACCGGCGTCCGTGCGGATGGTCAAGTTGCGGAGATCTCGCAGTCCGGTGAGCGCCCTCGCGGCGAGCTTTCCCAGCCTACAGCCGAGGACGCGGACGGCCCTCAGACGCCAGAGGTGCCCGAGCTCCTCGATGCTCAAGCTACTCCGCCTGTCCTCCTTGGCCTGGTATCTCTTCTCCTCGGCTCCCTCGTCGCCAATGTCATCCTCACCGTCGAGGCACACCACAGTTAGCGACGTCAAAGCGTCGCCGGGTATCTCGCTAAAGTTGACCCGCTGAGCCGGCAAAAGGGCCGGCTCCCTCTGGAGACACACGAGACTACCCTCGCTCGTCTGCTGTTGTTGCGGCTGCTGTGGTGACTCCCACCTGCAGTGCTGCGTCACTCTGACCGAAGGCGCTCCCGGTACTGTTGGCACTGTGCTACCACTGCCACTGGCCGTCGTCGCCGACACGCAGACAACGACCAGCGCGACGAGGGCGAGTTTCATGGTGTGATTCAAGGCTCCTCGTTGAAATAGAACTCGAAAACGTTTACGCGCCGGCCGATGGCATCTAGGACCCCAGCAGTGACAGACGACGCAGGTATATAGGACCAAAAAAGAGGGAGGAGTCGAAGAAGAAAAACGAAGAGGAAAGTAAAAAAAAAAAAAAAAAAAAAAAAAAAAAAAAAAAAAAAAAAAAAAAAAAAAAAAAAAAAAAAAAAAAAATAAAAAAGAGTTCGACGATCACGTCGACGCGCTGACGGACAACCGCGCTCTCGTACCACGCGCCCTGAGCTCGTTCCCCGTGTCGGTGCGGGTATCTCCGGGCGTTAACATCCTGCTGTCCGGTGGTTATACCCTTCTCCTCCTCGTTTCCCCCCCCCCTGCCGCGTTATCGCGCCGCAAAGCTTGTGTCACGCTGATTACTCTCTCTTTCTCTCTCTTCCAAAACTCCCCTTTTTCCGTGTCCGATCCTCTCAGCGGGATTAGCGATGGTTACGTACGTACACCCGGCTAATCCTTTTTGCTCGATGGTCGTTCACTTGCGCCACGTACGAGCCGACTCCCTTTTATGTTCCCGAGCCTCGCAAGTATAAGGGATATTGGATTAGATCATACATAGGCGTTTCTCGCGCGCACTCGTGGAAAACAGATAAACGACAACCGGCATATATGCTCCTGATGTTTTCCTCTTCGAGCACCTTTTTGTACGTATCGTCAAGCCGGTGTGAGTTTAAATTTAAAAAAAAAATCGTCCAACCGCACAACAACGTCAACAGAGTTCGTTCGGAGCGAGGGATGTGGGTGGCGTAACTTACACGTACGCGCGACAGGGCATAGGATACAGAGACAAAGTGTGCACCGAGGGAGCGTGGCGAGTTGGTGAGCGAGTACGAGGACCGTGGTGCGTTGGACTCGGTAGTCCGCGCGAGACTGACGGGAGGAGGCGCGCCGGCCGCGCGACTGCAACGGGACTATACCACCGTGTGCCGCGTATCCGTGTATATAATACGTGACTTTCAACCCCCTCCCTCTAGGCGACTGGCGCGCGCATGCGTATATATATATATACATCGGTAGGGTGGAGGGTTCGACGGGCGGCCAAACCCCCCCTTCTTCCTTCAGCTGCAGGGTGTAGATATAGAACACAACTACTACCCTTCCCACAGGAGTAGTGTGCGAGAGTCTCTAACTTTACGCAGCAGCCACCGCCAATCGCCTTCTCATCGGCTACCTCCTGCTTTCTTTTTTTTTTCTACGTTATCTGCGTACGCCTTCACATTTATACCTACGTGGTGATGAGAGAAAAAAAAAAAGTTCTTCTTTCGGACTTTGAGGTGTACGCGCGATATAGAGCGCGAGTTAAGGGTTGTTTTTTACTGTGTGGCGCTTTTGTTTGATTTGAGTTGAGCAAAAAAAAAAAAAAAAAAAATGGTTTTTTCCCCCGCAACTCTTCGTTCATTGGCTTTTTCTTATTTGCCAGTGCGCAATAACCCGTGACCTTTTTTTTTGTGTTCTTTCGTTGTTTGTACGTACACGTGCAATAACGCGCCTGTACAATTACCGTAGCCTCGCAAATAACGCTGCTATGCGCAATTTCGCCGCTATTGTAACGCCCGGACTGTAAATATTTGAGCTCCGCGCGACTGTATGGGAGAGTTGCGGTTTGTTTCTCGTGGGTCCATGTGTTGTTTTTCTTTTCTGGGAAAATAATTCTGTTCGATTTTTGGGTTTTCTCAATTTAAAAAAA